TTATATCCGCCAATACATGTCCTCAAGTGACATACACACATGTGCATGTTAGGAAAATATAATATAAATATTAGTAGCTTAATACTTTGTTGTTGAATTGTTTATGTAGTTTAAATAAAATTTAAAATATTAGGAGATACATTTATCATTCATGTTTTGTATTTTTCTTTTTTTGTATAATATGATAGCTTTCAAATTATCTTCTTTAGCATCCATATATTTTTCTATAGACTATATATCAGTTTTTAATTTTACTTATTAACTGTTACAAAAATTATTTTAACTTTAATCATCATATTATTCAATTTGTTTGTAAGTCTTTTTAGAAAAAATTAAAATATTTATCTATTATTCAAAACCTTCAATTACATATTTTAAGAAAACAAATATTATTCGATACAAAATAAGGGTTATGTGCAATTTAAAACATATGAATTCAATTTTTTTTTGACATATCGTAAGCACAAAACCGTTGAATTTTATTTTGAAAATGACTAACTTACATATAAAAAAATCTATCTACTCATGTTTTAAGAACATATAGTATTACACAAACTAAGTCCTCTTATGCATATATTCATATTTGGACCAATACAACAATAACAAGCTCCATCTGTTCCTTTACAATGTGATGATGGAAGTGGTACACATACACCTCTTAACTTGGCATCATGATGAGGATTATCATACTCCATAGTAGATGGTTGTGGGCTTGCATCTCCGAAGATAGTCTTTATTAAGGTAGTTTTAAAAGCTTTATCGCCAATGTTGTTCCTATTTACAACTGCACAAAAGAATTCATAACATAAAATATAACGATTATACCACACATGTGAACAAATTAACACATAAAATATTGATGGAGATAAATGTAAAAATTTTCAATTTATCGTGATATTGTAAAAGATGATCATCAGGTGTTGCAACTATGTCATCAAAATTTTTCGTAATATATTATAGTTCTAAACTACAATATGTTCATTTAGATACTCTAATCATTTATGATATGAAAAATCAACTCACATATGACAAGAAGGCTAAGAAAAAAGAACGAAAACAAAAATTGCTTAATCCCTAACGTCTTCATATGAGAGGACGTTTCAAGAATTGTTAAGTGAGTATATTTATACTAACTTTACTAGAAGTGATTGCAATGTACACTCAACTCAAATAAGCGTTTCGAAAATTATGTCTAACTGAGTACCCTTCATAATTACAACATATTTATAGTCTAATTAAATTCATATATTTATGTTTATTTGATAGTAATTTAGTTTTTTTTAATTCATTTTATTTTTGCTTTTAAATTTTAACTTTCTTTTCAAGTAGTTTATGCATGTGAAAGGAACAATGTCGCTAAGATCCCATTTCATAAGTACTTATTTTGACTTTTTTTGTCATTTTAATATATCTGAGGATAACAATATATGTAATTATTTAAAATAGGTCACTATAATTCGCATCTATTTCAAAATGTTATGGACGTGCTCGGGGATGAGATTTATTAGATTTGTAAAGGCTTTAGATTTATAAAAGAAAACTCGAATAAAAAATATACTAGGTTCGAATGTACAAGCTCTTAAATTTTATTTTAAATAAAAAACACATAATCCGAAATCTACTAGAAATACATTTTTCCTTATCCGAGCTTTTAGATGCATTTTTCATTTTATTCTACGCCTTTAATAGCTAAGATATATGTTTTCTGACACTTCTATAAACAAAATTTTATAGTTTCTTGATTATATCCGCCAAATACATGTCCTCAAGTGATATACACACATGTGCATATTAGGAAAATATAATATAAATATTAGTAGCTTAATACTTTGTTGTTGAATTGGTTTATGTAGTTTTAAATAAAATTTAAAATATTAGGAGATACATTTATCATTCATTTTTTTGTATTTTCTTCTTTTTTTTGTATAATATGATAGCTTTCAAATTATCTTCTTTAGCATCCATATATTTTTCTATAGACTATATATCAGTTTTTAATTTTACTTATTAACTGTTACAAAAATTATTTTAACTTTAATCATCATATTATTCAATTTGTTTGTAAGTCTTTTTAGAAAAAATTAAAATATTTATCTATTATTCAAAACCTTCAATTACATATTTTAAGAAAACAAATATTATTCGATACAAAATAAGGGTTATGTGCAATTTAAAACATATGAAATCAAATTTTTTTTTGACATATCATAAGCACAAAACCGTTGAATTTTATTTTGAAAATGACTAACTTACATATAAAAAAATCTATCTACTCATGTTTCAAGAACATATAGTATTACACAAACTAAGTCCTCTTATGCATATATTCATATTTGGACCAATACAACAATAACAAGCTCCATTTGTTCCTTTACAATGTGATGATGGAAGTGGTACACATACACCTCTTAACTTGGCATCACGATGGGGATTATCATACTCGATAGTAGATGGTTGTGGGTTGCATCTCCCAATATAGTCTTTATTAAGGTAGTTTTAAAAGCTTTATCGCCAATGTTGTTCCCATTTACAAGTGCACAAAAGAATTCATAACATAAAATATAACGATGATACCACACATGTGAACAAATTAACACATAAAATATTGATGGAGATAAATGTGAAAATTTTCAATTTATCGTGATATTGTAAAAGATGATCATCAGGTGTTGCAACTATGTCATCAAACTTTTTCGTAATAGATTATAGTTCTACAATATGTTCATTTAGATACTCTAATCATTTATGATATGAAAAATCAACTCGCATATGACAAGAAGGCTAAGAAAAAAGAACGAAAACAAAAATTGCTTATTCCCTATCATCTTCATACGAGAGGACATTTCAAGAATTGTTAAGTGAGTATATTTATACTAACTTTACTAGAAGTGACTACAATGTACACTCAACTCAAATAAGCATTTTGAAAATTATGTCTAACTAAGTATCCTTCACAATTACAACATATTTATTGTCTAATTAAATTCATATGTTTATGTTTATTTGATAGTAATTGAGTTTTTTTTAATTCATTTTATTTTTGCTTTTAAATTTTTAATTTCTTTTCAAGTAGTTTATGCATGTTAAAGGAACAATGTCGCTAAGATCCCATTTCATAAGTACTTATTTTGACTTTTTTTGTCATTTTAATATATCTGAGGATAACAATATATGTAATTATTTAAAATAGGTCACTCTAAGAGGTGTCTATTTCAAAATGTTATGGACGTGCTCGAGGATGAGATTTCTTAGATTTGTAAAGGTTTTAGATTTATAAAAGAAAACTCGAATAAAAAATATACTAGGTTCGAATGTACAAGCTCTTAAATTTTATTTTAAATAAAAAACACATAATCCGAAATCTACTAGAAATACATTTTTCCTTATCCGAGCTTTTAGATGCATTTTTCATTTTATTCTACGCCTTTAATAGCTAAGATATATGTTTTCTGACACTTCTATAAACAAAATTTTATAGTTTCTTGATTATATCCGCCAGATACATGTCCTCAAGTGACATACACACATGTGCATGTTAGATAAATATAATATAAATATTAGTAGCTTAATACTTTGTTGTTGAATTGGTTTATGTAGTTTTAAATAAAATTTAAAATATTAGGAGATACATTTATCATTCATTGTTTTGTATTTTCTTCTTTTTTTGTATAATATGATAGCTTTCAAATTATCTTCTTTAGCATTCATATATTTTTCTATAGACTATATATCAGTTTTTAATTTTACTTATTAACTGTTACAAAAATTATTTTAACTTTAATCATCATATTATTCAATTTGTTTGTAAGTCTTTTTAGAAAAAATTAAAATATTTATCTATTATTCAAAACCTTCAATTACATATTTTAAGAAAATAAATATTATTCGATACAAAACAAGGGTTATGTGCAATTTAAAACATATGAATTCAATTTTTTTTTGAGATATCGTAAGCACAAAACCGTTGAATTTTATTTTGAAAATGACTAACTTACATATAAAAAAATCTATCTACTCATGTTTCAAGAACATATAGTATTACACAAACTAAGTCCTCTTATGCATATATTCATACTTGGACCAATACAACAATAACAAGCTCCATCTGTTCCTTTACAATGTGATGATGGAAGTGGTACACATACACCTCTTAACTTGGCATCATGATGAGGATTATCATACTCCATAGTAGATGGTTGTGGGCTTGCATCTCCCAAGATAGTCTTTATTAAGGTAGTTTTAAAAGCTTTATCGCCAATGTTGTTCCTATTTACAACTGCACAAAAGAAGTCATAACATAAAATATAACGATTATACCACACATGTGAACAAATTAACACATAAAATATTGATGGAGATAAATGTAAAAATTTTCAATTTATCG